TACTTTGATTATTCTGATTGTGATTATATGATTTACCAATGACATCACATGGTGACCTTATCTATGCTCAGAAGCTAGGTTGGGCTTGGCCCAATTAATTTTGATGGAGACGACCAGCAAATACCAGAGCTATAAACTGAGAAATAAAAACCTACCCATGACCATTGCCACACTATTGCCAAGAAGTCTTAGCAGTTGAGCTTGACTGGAAGGAAACTTTTACTTTACCTAATACTTATATGTGATTGTAATTCCAATATTTCAAGTCTCTATTTTACCCCATCTGAATATTTTTGATTGTATGTGTATGTTTACAACAGATAAAAATATCAGTCACATACTCCCTCCCAAAAATACACAATGACCCAAAAATATGGGAACTAATACTGAGACCAAGTTACCTGAGGTATCTGAAACAAATCCATTTTCCCCTGAAATGCCAATTCTAAAAGTATCAAAATGGAGTATCCACCAAATGATATGAATCTGATTTTATTTTTTTAAATGATTATTTTAAAAAAGCAATTTCTAGCAGTTTATAAAACGTATGAAGCTTTAATTGAATTTTTACAGTATTATAAGAGTTTGTATCGGATCTGTTTATTTGGTTTTATAATAAATACTAACAAGGGTGTCTTTTTTTTCTTAGTACAATCCATCACAAAGAGCAGCCTTATCTAAACTTAGTTTAACTACGTCACTGTCATAAAATCCGTTTTCAATCTTTAAAAAGAACCCTGGAAATATTTCTCACAGGCTTCATGGAAAAAGCAGAAATATAGTCTCATATACCTAATGATGAGAAATTACTCCAAAATTCTAAAAATTGTAAATAGATCATGGATAATTAAGACTGGATACAAGAGCAATGGAACTTCCCAGCAAAGAGTAAAGTAGATAACACTACCCAATGCCTGTCTCCATATTGCCAACATGATCAATTGTTTCAAAAGCAAGTACTCTAAAAGAACCCGGAGAATCAAATCATATGTTCAGAAGGTATGGTAACCAGGCCTTTAAAGAATTTACATTAATTATAATGTTAACAATTTTATTTAGTTTTCATGTTTTATATTTAAAGATTTAACTTGAAATATCAGACATATTTTTACTTAACAGTATGAAGTTCATTATTGCAAGAAGACAGGATAAAAGTTGAATAGTCCAGTAATTAAATAATTTCCTTTTTGCAGGATACAATATCCATCAAGGGAATTAAAGCAATTTGACATGGATTATGACCAGTTCAAAAGGATTAGACCGTCTTCTAGGTTATGTAATGTTTCAAAAATCATAGGTATTATTAAATAGGTAGTATCGAGTTTCTGGGTGTGCAGCTTATGAGCAGGTTAGCTTGGTCGTTCAACAGCACGATGTTGTGAAGTGGGGACAGCAGGGCCTGCATCTTCTACATCGTATGAGAAGAGCACATCTTCTTTGCCTTATCCTTACCACTTTCTATAGAACGTATAGATGGACAATTGAAAACATCCTGTCATATTATATTACTGTGTGGTTTGGAAATATTACTGTTTTGGACAGGAAGGCTGTGCAGAAAATGGTAAGGACAGCAGAAAAGATTATTGGAAGTTCATTTTCTTCTATCCAGGATATCGCATTTAAACTATTCTTGACCAGGGTCCGCAGTATTGTCTGGGACACCACACATTCTCTCCATTACCAGTTTTCTTTCATACCTTCTGGGAGGAGGCTTCATGGTATCTGAAGCAGAACAGCTAGATTTTTCTAATAGCTTTATTCCATATGGTATCAACCTTGTTAACTCTCAAGACTCTTTTTTTCTGCTATGTATTCAAAATGGACTGTGATTAATGTGTGTGTGCATGTATGTATATATATGTATATATACTTTTGAGATTGGGCATCAGAATTTCATTTTTTTAATGTGTGCCAGTGTGTTCACAGACAAAAGTGACAATAAAGGTTATCTTTTATCTTATTATGATATACTAGTGGTATTATCATTATCATCTTTAAATAAGTTGACCACTGCTATCAGAAAAAGTTAGGTCTCTAATTTATTTCCATTAGTTTGACTAAACTAGGAGCTAAGAGAACATATTCTATTTATAGCTCCCAAAATCAATTATCAGCTCAGAATGGAACATGACAGGGAGTGTATTGTGTTCCTTCTTTGTATGTATTCCCACAAGCCTCTCTTAGCTCTGTAAGATCAATTCTGGTCTAGGTGAGCCTTTAGCCTACCCAGCACAATTCATACATATTTATGAAGGATCCAGTAAAATCTGTAAAGGTTTGATACACCAACAGAATCAAAATTCAACTGAATATGGCATTTTCTATTGTCAATAATTTGACCTGTAATTCATTGACTGTTCATTATTCATTTCCATTGGTGGACTGTTAACAGAGTTGTATGCTGTACTATATTTAAAATGCTTAGGTTCTTCTCCCCTGCATGACTTATTTAGCCACAATCCTATGTATATACTCTAATAAATTGTAATATACTTCCTCCTTGGTAAAAGTATAATTAACAATGTTAATTATAAACTAACAAATAATGATAGATTACAGGATTCTTCTCTCTTCTTACCACTATATTTTAAATGCTCTGAACATTAATTAATTTTCAAAATCACATAAGCCCTCAGACATTTAGCAAATTTCAATGGATAATCCTTGAAGAATAATGCTCTAAAACAAAAGCAATCAATGTCCAAAGGGAGCAATCACCTTACCCTTCTTGATTCAGGTAAACTGGAAAATGTGAGGACCACTATTGATTTCATTATCTTCACCAGTCCTGCCATTTTAGAAAGCACATATTTAATGTCAAAGCATTCATTATCTGGCCAAGCATGTACTCCCAAAATGAAGTTCAGTTGTAAGATTTGTTCCTGATCTTCAATTCTTCCATCCAGTTGAGGAACAAAAGACAGCATGTTATTTAACTGCACAAAAAAGGACGACAGCAACAGCAGGTGGGGAAAGAATTGACATGCTTGTCAGAACTGATTCTTTTCTGCCTCCCCTGTTGCTATGGTAACAAGAGACGCTGTTGTTTGCCTGGGAGCTGTTGCCGAATCCTTGAACAGGTAGGTACATTATGTTGAATTATTGCCGTTCTAAGAACTGATATTTCAAATCCACCTTTCCTTTTTATGTTTTTGCTTCTTAATCTTCTGTGCCTTTTTTTCTTGGTATGATTAGCATTGCATTTCTAGCTCTGAAAAAAACAATACTTCATAAGTACTTATTCTGCCAAACCACACAACCACTTTTCAGTCATGTTTTAGAGCTAGCTTTTCACCAGTAGCATTGTATATTGTCATCAAAAGAGCCTGGTAACCCTTGATCAGATAGAATTAGCCCCGTCTCGTTTCTCATCCATGTTTTTAAAAACCTATATAAATCTGCCCTGTTCTGGAAAATACTGTAGCCAGATTATTATGTTGATGTTGATGCTTTACAACAGGGGTCCCCAAACTTGGCTACTTTTAAGACCTGTGGACTTCAACTACCAGAATTCTCCAGCCAGCTATGAAAGAGCAGCAAACATCAAAAAATAATACGGAACTCACAAGATTTCAGGAGTGTTTGATGTCTTAACAGATATTTCGGGGTACTTTATTCATACTAACAAAAAAAAAAGATAAAACTCAATTTGTTTATAAACTGATGAGAACAATTGCACCACTAAAGCCACATTTGGCAGCATCCTATCTTGAAAGAGACTGTGAATAAATGGGTTTTCTATTATGGCAATATTATCTTAGAGATTTTACAGACAATTCAGATTTTATCATTAAAAACAAATGCTTAAGAAAAACCCACAACTCGGTTAACAGGAAAACCTTTTAAATTGGTTAAAGGAATTTTCACTAATTAATTAAAGTGGCAATCACCTGCATACATATTAGGGTGCAAGATTTAATATACAGTATTTGGTGCCACTAACCTTTCAGTCATACATGACTGATTTGGATATTATCAAGAGAGAATCAAAGATTCAACTGAAGGTCCCTACCTCTTAGGAATTCTGGTGGGATGGAACACAGGCATTTTCATTCTCCTGTGGAACAAGTTGCCCAGAGGCAAACATAGCTCCTTTGATTTGCTCTTCTGATTATTTCAAGCCCTTCGGGGAAAAAGGGGGCTTATTGTTATTTCCTGGATAAAAATGCAGCAGGTTTGTAGATAAATTCTGATATTGTTACTATGCTATTTTATGGTTATTGTTTATTATATTTTGACTTGTACACTGCCTAGATTTGACCAGATTGAAAGGGATAAATATCATAAGAAATACATAAGAAAATCGTAAATGTGGCAGGCCTATTACTCATCAGACTTGGTATAATGACTATTGCTATATCATTTATTTAAAAAAGACTGCCAGGTCGAAGCATATCTAAAAGAGAGAAAATCCCTTTAACAGAGTGAGACATAATTCTAAGCAAGCATTCACACTACATGTCACTGTGAATGTTTTGTACCAATGATTACATTTAACAAATTTCTGAAGTCCATATTCGTTGCTTCCAGAGAATACTGAATACCTCTTTCAGGTTGGAAACAAGAATAACTAAAATTGAGTTTAGGGCATGAAGAATGATGCTAAACTCCTGGCTAGAGCTCCAGTTTTTTCCTCCCATGTTTACTTCTTCTAATAATGGCTGATGGTTTTTCAGCAAGTTTTAATCATGTCATAGAATAAAAATTAGTGAAATATGAGCTGCCAGAAGGGTCACACAATTCTTTAATGCTTAACATGGATTTCTGCAAAAATTCAGTGATTATGAAGTCTCCAGATGGAAGTGAACACTTAACCCAGGGAAGCAGGATCACTAAGCAAATGATAAATTGAGGATTATTACCTGTAATGTGTGTGTGGGTGGGTGGGTGGGTGGGTGGGTGGTTACATTTATTAGTAGTGAATATTAATGATATTTTAGATTGGACAGTAGTGCTACATAATGTAATGCCTGTTCTTTGTTTGATTGTTTCACAGCATAATGGCCAGCAGAAAAAGGGAATTAGCCTTGCAGGTTAGTATGAGGTATCACTCACCCAGTGCAATTGTTCTGTATTTTCTGCTTGTATGGAGAGGACAAAAAAGCCCTAGTACAGTATATCTTGCCAGTGAAATCTACAGATAAAACTGTAGCTGTAAAACAGAAAGCTAAATCCCCAGTCTCCCAAACATGAAGTTTTTGTTTTTAATCTAGTTTGATGATTCAGAAAATAAATGGCAAGAACTAATGTTAAACATGGCAGTGCAGAAATTGCTGACAAACTTCTCTTTAATTTTCAGATCAAAAGTAGACATTATTCTAAACGGTATTGTAGTTTAACCAATGTTCTCATTTCAATGCAGGCATAATGTCTTGTTCAGTTTAATATTCATGAAAATTGTCCTTTAAACTCCTCTGTCATTGAGGGAGATAGTTCTAGACTCTTATTTAGAGAGTTTTGTCTGCTATATACAGCTTGGTAAGCCATGGCTTGTTTAGCCATGATGCATCGAATAAACCATACTGGGCTGGGTTCACACAACTTGATAACCAAACTCAGCCATATTGTGTTTTAGCACATATGGGCGAACCTGGTCCATTTGTCAATCATTCAGGATCAGTCCAATATACATGCTGTTGAGGTAATTCCCCATTAGGAGAATGAGCGCATACAGGGAGACTTATTTGAGAGTAGTGTTTGAATAATACACACACAGTACACAGATACACTATACAGTAAATGTAGGTTTTTACTTCTAGAAAGCTTAAGCAAAGTTCAAAATAGGCAGTCCAAAGTCATTCACAGGTTAAATCAGTCAGTTTTCAATCCAGGGGTAATCCAATAACAAATTCCAGTGTCAAAAAACAGTTCAGTATCAGACTTACATCAAATCCAGAAATAGCAGTCAATTAGGAAAAAATGGAGAAACGGCAATACTCTCCAACAGAAGGAAACAGAGATTCACTCTCTTCTGAGACTAAGGCTAGACAACCCAGGTTTCTGGCTCCATCTTATGGCCGTTTGAGTAACCACACCCAATTGCAGTTTTTAGCATGCTCTTAAAGAGACAGTATTAAAATGTCTATCCTGGTTTATATATTTCCATCCCAAATAGCTGTTAGGTGACTCACATTCCTAACACATGCATTCTGACATTAATCTAAGCTATTCATGAAAATAATGTGATCCAAAATATTACAGCTACTTTTGAAGAAAATCCTGCTGGTTTATTTTAGTCATTGCAAGCCTTTTAAGTAAAATGCCCTTAGTATGTGCCTTATTATGTCTCATTCCTCCTTCCCACAAATATTGTGGCTTTTCCCAAGCCCAGTCCTCAAAATCCTCCCCAAAGAGAACTCAGATATATTTGCTAATATCTCATACTGTCAAGTCCAGAGCAGATGAACAATAAGAGAAGGCTAAGAAGATGAGCAAACCTTTCAGAATTAGTATTATGATGGTGCCAAGCAGTGGGTTTTAGAGAATGTTGTGAAATAATACAAAAACTGTAACTCTAAATGCTTGTTTCTACATGTACCACAGTATATTTGAAACATGCTAGTAGCATTTAGTAAATGTGTATCTAAGGTTGACCTTAATGCATCAAGCAAAGATGCATTATAATGAGTAGAGACCCTCTGCTTGCATCAGTCAGCAGCTCCTTGAAAAAGCCACAACTTTCCCCAGGGCTGTTCAACTGTTTAAAAACTGATTTAAAACAGCTTCTTGAAATTGTGACACAGAACATTGAAAGTTAAAAGTTGACCATGGCATAAACATCCATACACTACAGTTCTCTTATTCTGATAAATTATGGTCAGTACAAGTTATGATACAACGTACCAGTTTTTTAAGGTGCACATGTCTCTTTATTGGCTTTGCTTCAACAGAGTAACAGGGCTACTCTTCTGGAAATATTTAAGTATGGAATTATAGGAATATATTTGTGATTTCTTTATGTATATAAATAATTCCATAAGGGATATAATCTCTATAAATCCTGCCATCATGTGGCCAGAAGAAGAAATTGATTATTTTTCAACTTTGCCAACTATTTCAATCAAAGAAGACCTGTTGGCTTTGGTGGAATTTTTCCAGGTGACTTTGAGCCAACTACTTAGAAAGTGATCTTAAAGTGATCTGCCATGTACAGAATGCAATATTCAGATTGTTAAAGTTTTGAGATTTGATGTTCTGAGATTTAACTTTTTTATTCAGGACAAAATTAGTTGAACAAAAGTTCCTTCCTAGTGAGGAATATAGCAATGTTTACACCGACATCATCCAATAATATAACTATACAAATAGTCTTTGCCTTTGATGCTACATAAATTATTTTGCCATACTATATCCAGATTGTTCAAATCTTAGTTGTGTTTATTGTATTTATTCCATGGGTCAGTTTGTAAGTAACATGTTTCTATAATGTGCTTAACCCACATTTCCTTAGTGATGTTTGGCAGCATAAAACAATATTAATTTGCTCAAAACTCTCTGTTTTATTGGAACATAGAAGCATAGCTCATTTTCTAGTTTTATGTACCTTCTGTTCTATCACGTAATTCCTGATGACAGACTTGCCAGACAGTTAGGCAGGCAGCAGGGGGAGATGGTTAGCTGCTGGATGGAAAGCAGTGCTTTTGGGAAGAGAAAGTGTATTCTATACTTTCAGTCACTTTCTGTCCTATTTTTCTTGGAGGATAGATTATTGAAAACTGGCTGAACTGCTTTGTTCTTTTCATGCTTAGCTTAATCTTGTCAATGACTAAGAAAAAGTTGAGAAAAAGTAAAAATACTTTGGAATAGGATTAAATTTCCAAGACAGTGACAATTCTGTACAACTCTATCATACATATTGTGTTTCTGATAGCAATATAAGTTAATGCATAATTTGGTTTTGATAATTTCATATATGATATAAATTTCAGTATCATATAATTTAATTAGCATGGTTTGATTTTGGTTTTCTTAGTAATATTTATACTTCAGAGATGGATACTATTTCATCAATGTAGTGTTTGTTGAAAAACAAGCATTTACTAAAAGTTCCATAGGCAGAGTCATGCATCTGACCATGCAATGTAAACTTTGTAACACAATAAATGTTTTATTATTATTTATGATGAATGCCACTACATTCCATGTGATGTTTCTGAAATATTTTGTTCTTTTACAGATTAAGATACATATTTTATATTTTAATTGCCATGTTGTTACCTTCATGCAACAGAAATACTTGTCCTGTAAATAAAGTTTTATAAAGTCAAATGTAATATTTGCTACTTTAGATTTGGATTGATTCAGCACTAATCTTTTGTTTTTGCAATAGAGACATTAGGCTTTAATATATCCACTTTCCAATAACACTCCTGCACTCAGCAAGAAAAATGTTCACAAATATTCTTGCTTTATATCCTAACATTTCCAATGGTTTTTTCTTCATTAACAGTTTGCATTTTTGACCAAAGATTTTTTTAAATCTAATGTTACTAAATGATGACTTCATCTTCTACAAGTAATTTTTAATAACACAAATATGCATTTTTTCATGTATTAATCCATCAAATCTTTCTTCAGGAAGCTATGCTTTAAAAAGCTATTTTGCCTTATTGCCTGATTTCTCAGTAATATGGTTTAATTTTCACATAGATGGTTGTCAATAATCAAGAACATTGGGAAGAATTTCTGGGATCCAAAGGATTGATTGGTAAGATTTTGAATTACAGTTATTTTATGAGGCTCATTTTCTCTTTTGTTGTTTAGTAATATTAATGTTCAGATCATTACTGAAATATGAACCATACCTCTGCTAAGTCATGCTACACAATAATATCTGTGAACGAACATGCTAACAAATGGAAGAATTTCCTTGGCAACAGCAAGCTATGCCTAAGCCTGAACTCTCCAATTCAATTAGTACTTTGGAGACACCCATTTGTAGGCAGGAGCATCAACAAAAAATCCTTCTTTGGGTTGATACAGAATTTATTGATATTTTATGTGGTATCTTGCAAACATTTTTGAAGCAAATTCCTATATAAAAATTGTAACAAATAGAAAAGGCATTTATTAGTTTTATCAGACTGTTGTAATAATTAGCTCTTTTTAATTCTAGATATTTGATTGATTTCTGGAATTATTCTGACATGCCACAGTTCTGCTGATACAGGTTAATTTCTTTGCAGTAGTAGATGCTTATCAAGGCTGGTGTGGACCATGTAAAACAGTTGTTAATCTCTTCAAGAAAATAAGAAATGAAGTTGGCGGTGACCTGCTGCATTTTGCTGTGGTAAGAAAAAGCTTCAGATCTATTAAAACACTTAGCAAAGACCAATTCTCAGAAAGGATCAAAAAAGTTAAGATGGTAAGTATAACCATATGAGCAAATCTCCACCCTTTTTTAAACATGGGCCGATGTATAAGAGTCAGAGGATCAATTATGCAGTCATACACCCACCATCTTGATTTCTTAATCTCCTGAACAGATGTTCTGTTCCAATCTATAACAGACATGTAAATATAGTAAGCAACATGCTGTAGTAAACTGCACAAGGAAACCCATTAGTGTCCCAGTGGATGGTCTTTAGAGGCAGCCACCCTGTTATCAAGGTTAGTAGTCCATTGTCCACAATTCTATTATGCTATGTACCATCTTATATGATAGTACAAATACTAAAGAAATAAACAAATAATAGGACTACCAGTTGTGGACTGCAGAAAGATAGGATCAAAGAATTAGGCTTCTGGTATTCTTTTTTCTCAAAACAAGTTCATCTAGTTTTTTACAGCCCAGATCCAATGTTTATGTCTATGTCTATATGTATATAAACATTTTAACCCTAGGATTTTAAGCAATCTCAAATTAAAATACAAAAATCACCAATAATTAATCACAGCCTAGTTATAATCTTATGCTTATGCAATAGGGTTACCATAATTTTGGTTTACTTTTATTTCCAAGGCCACCCATTCACAAATTACTCTAAATCCACTTATAGAGGGTAAGTCAACATGTGAAACGAGCACAAAGAATAATGGTTAAAAGCAATTGAGGCAAAACAACATGTACAACATCAGAATGTGCAGGTTCACATCCCTAACTCGGTGCCTGTGGAAGAGCCTGGGCTTGAGGACCTCTTAAAAATCAGCAAAGTCATACAAAGTTTGTGGACCAATTGTTCCAAAGGAAAAGTCTCGCTACAAAAAAAGGCATGGCTCCTAGGTCCAATAAGATAAAATTATATTATACGCGAACCTTGCCAGTTCTTTCTACAGTATCATACAATATAGTATTGTACAGTACAGGTATTCCTCGACTTACAACAGTTCATTTAGTGACCATTTGAAGTTATAATGGTACTGAAAAAGTGACTTACGGACCGTTTTTCACACTTAAGGCCCTTGCAGCATCTCCAAAGCAATGTGATCAAATTTCAGTTGCTTGGTAACTTACTCATATTTAGGACGGTTGAAGGGTCACGGGGTCATGAGATCACCTCTTGAGACCTTCTGACAAGCAAAATCAACGGGGAAGCCAGATTCACTTACCAACCATGTTATTAACTTAACAATTGAAGTTATTCACTTAACTGTACCAAGAAAAGTTGTAAAATGAGGCAAAATTCACTCAACAACTATCTTGCTTAATAACAGAAATTTTGGGCTCGTAAGTTGAGGATGTATTGTATTGTATTGTATTGTGTATTGTATTATCTAGAACAGACCGAAATAGAGAAAGGTGCTACTAAAAAAATTAAGATCCTATGCCAGAAAGGTTTTATAGATGAACACCTACACTTTGAATTGCATTCAGAAGCCCACGGGTAATTGAGCCATTTGGCTATCTGAATGGCATGCTCATACTTTATCAATTTAATAAATCAAATTTTCTGGGTCCACAAATGCAGTGCATCATAAATTAAACAAACAAATACTGTGGTTTAAATATGGTTAGCTTATTTGTGGTTCAATATGTTGTGCAAACACTGTCAACATATTAGTTAGAACAGTATACTTAAGCAGCAGAACATTGAAAAATGCTTTCATGACACACTGATGTATTGGTAGCATGATAGGCAATAATGCTTTTACTTATTAAGAAATATGTGCTTGTTTGCAGTGGATGCCAAATTTTGGATGCTGTGAAGTTATGGAGATTTGTTTTATTTTGTTTTCTTGTCTGCTTTCATTTAGGCTGAGGTAGATTCAATTGATGCTCTAGAGAAATATCGTGGAAAATGTGAGCCGACATTTCTGTTTTATGGTGTAAGTTAGTATGAAAGGCCAATTTCATTAGACAATATTCCCATCAGTATTATTTTTTCTAATAAACCTTGACAGATTTGTTTAAAAGACAGTATGTATGTTTCCAGAAATATCTATGTAACATGCTAGTTTGATTATTCTCATTAACTTGTATATAGAGATGCATAGTATAGCTGGAAAGCATAGCATTCTATATATATTATCCTGATAAGCAACTTGTACATATCATAGAACTCCCAGTACCAGAAATAGTGCATTATTTCTACATTATGTTTTATATGATATGTAATATGTTACATATGATAGGATGGGGCATCAATATATTTTACAGTTTGCATTGACTATTGCTGTTGCTTTTGTATACCACCAGGAGATATGTTGAAAGTGGTTAATAAATTCATAAATATAAAAAATAAAATATGTGAGTATTATGTAGGTAACTAATAACACTTTGAAATGTTATGAGATATAATTATATATTATTTTTATTATAGTCCTGAACAAGACAAATGTTCGAATGCTAGCAAGATTTGAAAGGATTGCATTTGTTATATAATGTTTTCTTAAAGTAATTTAGCTAAAATCAATGAGAGAAATAAACCTTAAACATAGATGAGCAAGCCTGTGATTAGCACATCTAGACAAGGGGTCACATAACACAGTAACTCATGACATTTAAATATTTTTTTAATTAAATGACAATTAACTGAGTTTGCACAACATGAAACTTAGCTACGGTTATTTAATTAACAAGTTCTGCAGAAGCAAAATATTATAGTCATCAATGCTCAGTGCTTATGCAACAGTTTCTAACTACCCAATATATATATATATTATTAGAATAGAGTGTCATATACCACAGCCAGATCCAGCCATTATGTCGCCAACCCATGCTTTGTTGAATAAAATACAGTTGGTTTGATTTGCACCTATAGTTGCCAAACACCACAGGCTGGATCACAAAATGATTTAGGTCACACAGTACACTAAACTAAAACAAATCATATTATAACTTAGTATGGCGTATTAAGTCAGTCTATATGTTAAATGTTGTGAACACCACAAATAATGCCTCCTTTGAATCATTTATATTTCCTACAATATAAATATAAAATTCTATCTAAAGAGTGCTCAGTTAAATATGTCCTGGACAGTTAAGGGAGCATATTGAAATATTACTGATTGCTTCCTATAGGGCAGGATATGTGAAACTTGAATAATTTATTTTTTATTAAGAGTGATGCTGGATAATAAATTATAAAAATATGTGATGAAGTGTTTAGTTTTTCTGAGAAAAATATAGTATAGCTATGAAAGATGAGGGAAAAAACATCCAAAGAAACTCCATCAACTCATTTTATGAGATTGGGAATTTTATTCCTACAGTTTTGAAGATTCTCTTTTTACGCGAGGCTAAGAATTCACTTTCCTGAAAACCATTTCAATATTCCTTTCCTGATTTTATGAATTACATGGGACTTGTCAAGAATTTCTTATGCAAAATTACTTCCCTATTTATTTATTTTTTGGGACTTGGATTGGAGAGAGAGGGAGGGAGGGAGGGAGGGAGGGAGAGAGAGAGAGAGAGAGAGAGAGACCTGCCCAAAGTTACCCACCTGATTTCCATGGCCAAAGGAGGTCTAGAACTCCCTATGGTATCACAATTTCTAGTCCAGCCATTATACAAAACTTTTTCAAATAAATTTGCTTATTTTATTATGAAATTATCAATTAATTTATCACTGGTTATATTTGCAGACATTTATATATTACCCAATTTTTTAAAAAGTAGGAAAAAGATTTACATCTTCAGTTCTTTTTCCATGCCTTATTTTCTCAATCTTTTGCTAAATTTGACTTTTTTCCCCTCATTTGATATCTGTACAAATTGAGAATGCAACTCTTTCAATGTTTATAATATCATATTTTCAATGGTAAAAGATAATCAAAAGTCTTCTATTGACAATAATAGTGTCTCTGTGTTGACATGAACTGTATATGTAAAACAAAGTCACCACTTTCTGTTTGAATTCAGGGGGGAGAACTGGTAGCTGTTGTAAGAGGAGCGAATGCACCATTGTTACAGAAAACCATTCTGGAGCAGCTACAAGCAGAAAAGAGAGTCTTGGATCATGGAGCAGAGAGAGTGGTGGTAATTACAAGTCTTGCTATTTAATTACCATTAGAATGATAGAGTTGGAAGATTCCCTCAAGTCCTGTTCTTCTGCTATATCATGGTGGTGTGATATTCCTAGAAGGGTAAAGAATTCCAGAAGTATATGCCAAGAGTATGCATATCCAGCAGAATCATTCAGGTCTGAAGGTTATCTTAGCTGCCCAAGATAAAGTAAACACGTACTGATGGGCAATAGTGATTTAGGGAGATGCTGCAGGGGTGGGGGTAATCAATTCAGTGACAACAGCAAAAAAATTATGGTGGGAGTTCTGCTAAGACCTTAGTCACCTTCTGGAATATGGTAATTTATCAATTACTGTCCTCCTTCTATGGAATAGTATCTCCCTAGAGACCTATTGTCCCCTATGGTTCAACAGGCCATTGTGGGCTGAAGAATTGGATGTTTACATCCCTTAGATAAAAGCTTGTTGACTAAATTATTTCTTGGGTATAGGTTTTTCTTTTTAGATTATTTATTATTCAAATGTTAATGTTATGGTGTTGTATGTTTATATTTTTTGCTTAGTGAGTAGGCTATAAGATGGTCAGAGACAGTTACTGATTTGAACACCATATTAGCCAGATAAATAAGTAACAGAGTAATGGTGGCCTTTAAAAGAAATGGAGATCCTTGAAAGAGTATTCTTCTTGTCTAGAAAAATAGTGGTATTTTTAATAGTGGCTGGTATTGAAGCTATAGTTCCTAGTGATCATGAGATAGGAACTCTTGAATTCTGATAGTACTTCAGAATGTTAGATTGAAGTCTGTCTTAGAGCTTAATTTAATTTAAATTTAAATTAATGAATTAAATTTAGTATGGTTGGGCAGGTTAAGTTTGTGGCCCTATCTAGTGAGGTAATTACTTAAATTTCTCACTAAATTCAGTATATTTTACAGTAAATATATGAAATATTTGCATTCTGGAAGGGAAAAAGTCACCAACTATTACTAAAAATAGCTGCAATATTTTATATTATGAGGCTAGATTCACGATGAAGCCCTTCCTAAACAAGAAGAAAGTGTTACTGTTGGAGAAGGAATGGAAGAAGACAGTGAGAATGAAGAAGCAGGTATGTTGGTCTAACTTATACAGAGACTTAATCACCATTGTCATTAAAATGCTGCCTAGTTAAGCAGAATTTTAGATATTTCAGGTTCCATCGATGTTCTTGCCCCCATACAGTATCCTCCAGATGTGTGTTACACGCTGGCTGGAAATCATGAATGGTGCAGTCTAGGATGCTTAGAAAATATGAAAATAATTGCTTTTACATAGCATTATTATTTCTCTCAGTGATCATACATGCAAAAAAAATATTTTTGCATTGTCAGATAAGTAGTTATCTCATCTGATCTTTGCTTTCTACAAATCTTTCATTCAATTGTGTATCTTGACTGAAAAGCTAAAAATTAGTTTCAAAGCAAGGAAATATCTTGTAATAGTTATTATCTTGTTGTGTATATTGTGCAACTCTCTTACAGACAACCTGGATCAGAGATTTTCAGCAGAAGTGAACTGATGGTACAGTTTTGCAGACCTAATAGAATCGAGTAATGAATCAAATTTGTTTTGTAGAACATAATTGTTATAATATAGCAGCTTGGCTTTATCAGTGGAACTAAATTTCTAACTAATTTTCTAGCATTATTCTCACAGGGTCTAAAATATTGGTCAAAATATAAATTAAGTAACATCATCAGTACTAGTAAGTATGGAATTTGCTCCCAGCTTATATACAATAGCTTGCCCTGACAATGTTGGTAGCGGGTACCTTGATGGTTTCTTGATTATTGTTTTTCAACCCAAAGTTGGTCAATTGAGGCTGTCACAGTCAGGGGGATGCTGCAACAGTCGTAAATGTGAAAACCAGTCATAAGTCACTTTTTTCTGTGCTGTTGTAACTTCAGTGATGACTAAAGAAATGGTTTTTAATCAACCACTACCTGTATGTAATTTCTTATTATATTGTTATATAGTAAGTAAACAATAAACAAGTATAAATGATTTATGCATGTGTTTTTCTTGTCAACATTTTTCATTTATTGTTATATTATGCTATACTGTATATTATGCTATATTATATCAACAACCAGAGAGAATACAAATGATTATTTTATTAATTCCAAAGCCAGCAGATTACAGTGGTCTCCTACATCCAGAATGCCTGGAATAAAAGCTACAAGATTACATCGCTTTTATACAGAATTTTGATTAAATATAGTTTCAGTATGCCTATATATCAGTAGAAGATCCTAACTATGGATATGGTTATGCCAGGAGAAACATAAAAGGGGAATGTAGTGGAACGAGGTATTTAAGTATCCATCTGGGTTCAGTTCCAAGTGGGAAGAAAGACACTGGAAACACAGAGGCTGATTGGAAAGATGGTTTATTGATGAACAGGACCACATGAATTTGAAGTCCTTGTGCAGCTGAACACTTGGCTATCAGACTCCCAGGGGGCTATGCAGGGGTCACAGCTGAGATTGTTTGCATTAAGGTTGGTTGAACCTTGGGCTGATGTAATGAAGGGGCTTGGTTGTGCCATCTGCTGACAGATACTTCTATTATGTCCTGGAGGGTCATGTCTTAATCCCATCACCCTGGAGCTGAGGTCTGTTGTTTTGTAGATAGGCTGACCCAGAGGTGGTATTCAGCAGGTTCTGACCAGTTCTAGAGAACTGGTAGTGGAAATTTTGAGTAATTCCGAAAACTGGCAAATACCACTTCTGACTGGCCCCACCCCCATCTATTCTCTGCCTCCTGAGTCCCAGCTGATTGGCTGGGTCTTCTTTTGTTGCCCTGCACATGAGAACGGAGCTGGAAAGCAGGTTGGAGTGGAGTGGGGAGGGAATGGGATTTTGCAGTAACTTTCCTCCAGGAGTGGGGTGGGAATGGAGATTTTGCAGTATCCTTCCCCTGCCACGTCCACCAAGCCACACCCACCAAGCCACACCCATAGAACAGGTAGTAAAAAAAAAATTGAATCCCACCACTGGGATGGCCCAGTCTTCAATGGGCACCAAATATCTGCTGGAGGCAGGGAGCTGAGTTTCTGTCTCCCTTAAGATGTCTATTTCTCCTTTAGGGGAAATATTCTGTCTTTTTAATATTTCCTAAAATATTTCATTCTTCTAGGTGGGGTGGGTGATAACTTTCTTCAAGAGTAACCAAGAGTGATTGGGTAAATGTGGATTAATTCCCAAAGGGAGTGACCAGTACAAAAGAAAATGTTAAATTGGGTTGGTAAGGATCTGAATCACAAAATAAATCATATGAAACAGGAGTGAATCAGTTGATAAAGAGATTCTCATGTGATAGCAGTGTGAAATATAAGAAACTAGTCATATATAGATACCGTTTTGTATTCATAACAAACATTCCTAAAGCAGTATATATACTGAAAAAAAACAATTGAATAGAAAACAAGGAAAAAGAATATTTTAAAAATGTACGTTGCTTGCTGAATTTGTTGTAAACATTTGTATAAATAGTGATTTATGTTTATGCACATAAATTTTAAATTATAAATTTAAAACGTGCCAATATATTAATTATGGCATTGTTTCCGTCCATTCCCATTTTGAGAAATAACTGAAATTGAAATACATTGAAAGCAATGGGATATATTTTGAGGCAATTTTAAGTCAAGTGTGGCATCCTGACAATGGTTTTACGTTATCCCTAAGGGAGACAGAATAGGCTTTGTTGCCTAAGACGTGCCCCCTTCTATTGCATGCATCTTTAGGTACCGTACTACTATTACTGCACTGCAAAAACGGTCTTTCAAAATGCCTTTAATGGCTATGCTGGATTGACAACGGTAAAATTCAACGCAAACACTTGCATCTTTCGTTGCTGCCAGAAGAGAGTGCCATATAAAATAGGCTCGGTTTGATACGAGTCACGGTGGACGCTTTAAGAAAGCGCCATTTCTTCGATTTCGGGCGGAAGTGAAGCCTGGAAAGGGGCCGGGGGTGTGGCAGCCGCTATCGCTACCACGAACAACCGAAGTGTCAAAAAGGGTTTCCTGGGAAGTGGCTGGGTGAGTCCGCTTTCTTCTCTGCGCGTTTAAGGACAAGGGAACCGGAGGGCTCGCTGTCGCGGCAGGGAGCCTTGGCTGGAGGGGGAACCCCGAGTCTTTCTCCGGAGAGTAGTAGCTGTCTGACGGTAGCCGGGACTCCCCAGGAAACCGACCCTTCCACGTAAAAGCAGCGGACCTTCCTTTAAAGCGGCTGGAAAATGGTCGGTGTCGATCTTTGTTATGTATGGCGTGTATTATTTCCGCCCCCCGCCCCTCCGCAGCCTTTACATCCTTGTCTTGGCTGGTTTACGCCAGGAGTCTCCAACCTTGGCCGCTTTAAGCCTGGAGGACTTCGACTCCCAGAATTCCCCAGCCAGCAAAGCTGGCTGGGGA